CACACACACACACACACACACACACACACACACACACATATATATATTTATATATATATATTATATCTATATATTTGTCGAACATTAGTCTCTCAAATACATCATACCTGTATTCGTGCAGGCGTTATCCTTGCCGCCCATAGCAGGGTCTTGTCCTTACAATCGTTCCAACTTTATGGAATTGGACATGTCGATCCTGCCCCCATCAATCGAAATCACGCGGACCGATTTCGATGCGTTCTATCCCCTTCTGGGCAGGTATGTTAAGTTATGTGCTCTGTTAGGTAGACGCCTGTAATACGTTTAGGTACTTGATACGTTTACTGTCTGCAGTTGGTGCTCAAATTGAGCATTGGATAACCGAAGCACGCTGGATATTCGCCCTGGGCGTAGGATGGAGTGGTTTTCCGTCAACGCTTTCGTACACGTTAACGTCCTTGATGATACCTACCGAATTGGGTTGGTCACTTGTTTTCCCGTAGTTGGAACCGTAACTGATACTCTCCTAACCTGAGACTTCGAGGGTAGCATTGATATGCACTGAAATGTACTGAAACATATTGTTTTCTTACGGGGGGGGGGGGTGCATTCTACACTCTACAGATTTGACATGTACATACAACTGAATCGGAAGGAGGGTGAGTACTATAACGGAGAACCCTACGACTTAACGCTGCACTATTCCATCGTTGTAACGGGCCGTCGCATTGACAAACAGGGTACCGTAAACTCTACTCATCTGCTGTATATCTCTTTGTAGCTATGCGGTGTGTGTAGCTTTCGATTGTTCGCGTTTCCGGATTCCTAGCTACCTGTCAAATTCTACTCATCTGCTGTATATCTCTTTGTATCTATGCGGTGTTTGTAACTTTCGATTGTTCGTGCTTCTGAATTCCTAGCTACCCGTCAAACGTATTTTGTATTCACATTTGTCCCGCTTCTTGCTTGCCTGTAGGTATATGGATACTGTATGGATATGTATCTACGTACTTAACATCAGCCTTCTTTTCCTACTAGATTGTTTGCTTGCTTTCTTAGTATGAGTAGGCGCAGTTCTCGCGTGCCTTGCGTATGAGTTATAACTTGTGAATATATTTGTGTATGGTATTAGGTACTGAGTATACACATGTAAGTGCTCAGTCTTTGGTTCTCCATAACACAGTCGTATCTTCCTTTTTGTTCGTTGTTTATGTTGAGATATCAGGGATTGATCACTGCTCTTTGCTTAACTCTCAGGGTGAAGTAATGGGGATACTCTGTCTGTGTGTAGCGTAGATTTGGGATTGTGTCAGACATCGTGCGCTTGAAATACCAATATATAAATAATATGCATACTTATGAGGCTTTCTACTAGCAT